ATCTGCAGACTAATTATGAAAACTTAACCTGATAGTGTAATATTGCATAAGGCACAATTGCCTCGTCATTGCGAATCACGTGTGAATTGTAAGGCAATGACGAGGCATAGTTAACGACTTTCAGTCGTTTTCGCGCGATAATTAATTCATTTTCTCTCCTTTTCTCAGTCTCGTTGGGCCACTTGTCACATGTGCGCGCACATAAAATCTCAAACGTGTCCGATTTCGCATACAGGAAGGTAATAATTTATACCGGTTTGACTCGTACGACTGAAAAAGATATGACGTGATAAGAATAATTTAATAAAATATATTCGTTTAGTTATTAACTTCACTGCGCTATAAACTACCGGCAGTGATCGATGGTAAGGTTTGCGACTCACACGTGCCGCTCTAAATTCAGATTGATTTCACCTCTTTTTTTTTCTTTCCTCTTTCTATTTCCTCCTTTGATGAATATATATCTCTTTAGTGTTACACATTCAAGTGAAGTGATTGACACTTGATTCCCGTGCCTTAAAAAGGAAAGGTACGTAATTAAGCAAACGGACGATTCTGTGTGTGTGTCTGTCTGCTATGTGTGCTGCTGTGTGTGTGCTGCTGCTGTGTGTGTGTGTGTGTGTGTGTGTGTGTGTGTGTGTGTGTGTGTGTGTGTGTGTGTGTGTGTGTGTGGCGCGTGTGCGCGTGCGTGCGTGCGTGCGTGCGTGCGAGGAAAATAAATATGTAGAATTGACGTTGGTCTTTCTTCTTTCTCTTTCCCTCTTTTTCCTATCCTTTTTTTTTATCATTATCTTTCAGAATGCGAAAGATAAATCAGTTTAAAAGACATATCGTTCGCTGATTTTCGACCAATCACGCGTCTAACACGAGATTATGATGACGTCATGTGCTGCTAATCTGACGCGTCACGGACGCGCGAGTCTATCCGCATGGACTTCTGATCATGAGTTATGATGCGCGTCGTCTTCCTTGAATACTACTATTGAACTATCGGAGATAAAAGCCGTCAGATAAAAACCGATAAATTGACGAACGATTTCTTTTTTCTTATCGATCTATTTTATTGAATTTGGTTATTGTGGCGATGTTTATAAAACGATTGCGAAATCAAGTAAGTAACAAAAGCAACGTATCTTCAAACGGATTTAGACTTTTAAGTGAATTCAGGTAAATGTTAAACACATAAAGATATAATTAATTTCTCGAAAGATGTCACGGTCATCTCGCGTCTACCGAAGAGAAAAAAAATCTTGTCCTTTCTAAACAGCTCCATCCGTCGCAAGCGTTGGTCAGTGTTCGGTGATTGATGATTTCTCTTTTTACAGTCCTACTGAAACGTTCACGGAGAATCTTTTAGCGGACGGTCTTTTAAACACTAGCAAGTTCTGATTGAAAGCTGTTCCGTCAAAATGGAGAAAACCAAGTCGACCGAAACTGCGACGAACGGATACAAGAAAGAAGGTTAATTTTTTAAATGACATGGGAAGAATTTCGTGTATATTTTTGTATTGTTATAATTGTAATTTATAACAATTTAAATATATCTTTTTTTATAATAATCCGAATATTTTTTCTATCTTTTTCTGCAGATGTCAAGGATATACAAATTCAGGTGCCATGGGGTTACATCAGAGGTCAGTGAAAATTATCTCTTGCATTTCCCTGGTTGATATTCATAATTGATTCTTATATTTAAGATTGTCTTGAGTATATACTGAAGATCTCATAAACTGATATTCAGCATTTGTTTTTATATTTAAAGTCTTGAGTTTATAAAGTTTATTAAGTCTTAAGTTTATACAGTTATGTAATTTGTTAAAATATGAGACGATTTGAGATGATTTTAAATATAAGAACTAATTATGAATATCACCTATAAATCAATCAGTCATGTCTTAAGACATTATTTAAAACAGATTATAAATATCAAGCCCCTTATTCTTATCATAAATTGATGTCTTAAGAAGAAAAGATAATTTTGTTCTAAACGTTTGTATAAAATCCATCCATTAACATATATTAAATATTTAAATATCAAACATATCTTATAATATTACCGGGTACTTTTAAAAACAAATTAAAGAATACATAGATATAGGGGTACATGTTAACTAACAACGCGAAACATGACATTTCCTTGGCAAGCAGGGTTTTGATTGCTAAAGTCTTTTTTAATATGAAATAAATTCAATTAATTATATTACCATGGCTGGAATTATTATAGAGTCACTACGTTGAAAGTCTGCTAAAAGCGGCACATAGTTGGTAATATAATTAATTGAATTTATTTCATATTAAAAAAGACTAGCAACCAAAATCCTGCTTACCAAGGAAATGCCATAAATTAAAAAAATAATTGAAGAGGTATCAGTCTTGATTAGAATTACATCAAATTGAACATATTATAAATTTAGGAAAATGGTGGGGATCAGCAGATAAGCAGCCTATAGTGGCAATACATGGCTGGCAAGACAATTCGGGAACTTTTGATGCCTTGGCACAATTGTTGCCAAATATAGCTATATTGAGCATAGATCTGCCTGGTCATGGTCTTTCCACTCATCTACCACCTGGACAATTCTATTATATATTTTGGGATGGGCTTCTCACGCTGCGTAGAATTGTTAAACATTACAAGTGGAACAAGGTTAGCCAGCGAGTCAATGTTATACAAAGATTTAGAGATATTTTTCTTTCTTCTATCATAAATTTAACATAGTAATAATATCAGATAGGCAAAAGCATGGATTTTATATGCCTTTTTTACAGAAGTTAAATGTAGTTGCAGCATAACTTAAGGGGTGTGTGGAATCTACTGATTATATTCATCAGTAATTAATTATTATTTAATTTGTATATTTTCTTTAGAATTGAAAATAATATAACATATTATTAAATTTATTAATATTCACATTGCATCATTTAATCATTATATTGTTGATGAAATGTCAAGAAAGGCTGACTGTTATATATACTATATGCATAATACATCTGTGATAGAGATAATAAAAACTCTTGATGAATAATCAAGAATAATCAAGAAGTCAAATGAATAACTTTTCGTTATCTATGATATAATCACATATTGATTATATCATAGATAATGGAAAGTATCGTTGTATAACTACGTATTATGTTTTACATTATGTCCTCAAGGACAAAAGTTTTTTAACTCAGCTGTAACTTTGTTGCATTTTCAAAGAATACTCATAGGAGGATCTTCATTTAATAAATTGCATTAATCGAATTTATAACTGCAAGATATTCTGATTAAATATCACAAGATAAAAAATAAAATTAAATAAAAAAAAAATAATGCGACTCTTGTCTGCAGGAAAATGGTGGGGTCCTAGTGAACTCCAACCAATACTGGCACTACATGGTCGCCAGGATAACGCAGGCAGTTTTGATATGTTAATGCCATTGTTGTCCGATGATGTTTCTGTTCTTTGTTTGGATATGCCAGGACACGGTTTATCTTCGCACTATCCAAAGAGTCAATTTTATTATGTCTATTGGGATGGCATCATAATCCTTCGTAGAATCATTAAACATTTCAAATGGAATAAGGTTAGCGAGTGGATAAATCCACTCACTCTTTGCAATCAAAATCACTATTAAAACTTCTATGCGATAATATGTTTATCTCAATGTTACACATATCTAACAGTCATCCTTTGTTTGCACTTAAATTGCACTCTGATGTTACATTTCGTTTAAGTATACTGCATGATAATGTTTTTCTTATAAATATTTTATGGATTTATGTTAATGTGATGTGATATGGGATTTATGTTAATGTGAATATTTTAATATCTCGCATGCATTGTTTTTAAATGTAATTTTATGTATATAAAAGTTATATAGGATAGTGTATTGTATTATTCAATATAATATATTGTTTATTATATATGTGTTAATATGAGCTTGTTACTAACCCGATTATTGTGGAAATAGGTGAAACTTCTTGGACATTCATTGGGTGGTGCTATATCATTTTTGTATGCAGCATCATATCCAGATGAAGTTGATATTCTCATAAGTTTGGACATCGCTAGCCCAAGCGTTAGAGACGTCAAGAAAATAGCTACACACACTGGAGAATATATTGACAAGTTTTTGAAGTATGAATCATTAACATTGGACAATGTACCATGCTATGGATATGAAGAGATGATCGACATAGTAGAAAAGGCATATGAAGGTGGTATAACGAACGAAGGAGCAAAAATATTGATGAAACGTGGTATGCAGCCAGCGTATCAAAAGAACAAGTATTATTTTTCTCGTGATCCAAGATTGAAGGTAAAAACATTTAATTAATTATACAAAATACTATCCACAACAAATTAAGGCTATGGATTTATTCTAAGACTAGTATAATAATATATTTATATATAAAATTATTTATACTTGTTTTAGGTTTCTCTTTTGGGCATGTTATCCTTAGATTTAGTACTTGAATACGCATCTCACATAAAATGTGCTTATCTCAATATTCGTGCTGTTCCTGGATTGAAATTGGAACAGCCTGAAAATTATGAAAAAGTATTAGATATCATAAAACAAGGAGCTAGAAAATTTGAATATCACGAAGTGAAAGGCACGCATCATGTGCATTTGAATGATCCTGAAAAGATTGCGCCTATAATAAAGAATTTTTTGCAGGATTAATAGTAATAGTATTTAGTTTTTGATGAATGTGATTATTTAAAATAATTAAAATAATTTCATGACAGTGGGTATTTAAAATTCTTATCTAAAACGTATTATTTAGGAGGAAATTGTATTTACGTTGTGCGCTTGTACTTGTACATGTTGCACAATTTTATTAATTTTAATTTTACAGTTTTATAATATATATTGTTAAACAATATTAATTTAACAATATTAGCAAATAACAAATTTTAAACAACACGAACGAATTTGTATTCTTTCTTTCGGTCCTATGAGAAAATAAGGTGCTTTAGCGTAACAATTAGTGCTGTGATAAGCAAAGATCAATATAAAGATGCATATAAATTTAAAACTTGTATGTCTTAAAATATGATTATTATATACATAAATCATACTTTTTGTCAATATCAGTACAATATCTAGTGTTGCTTTGATGTAATAAATTATTTAATGTTAATATCTCTCTTTATATGATTTATTTAATAAAATAATAAGTATGGGTCAGTTTAATCAATTTTATATACACATATAAAATTGATTAAACCAATGCATTAGAATATAAAAAAAAATGATTTTATACCAGCGTATATAATCATAATTATCTCTTCCTTATATATATATATATATATATATAAAATACATATTATTTTTTCGAAGAATAACATTAATATCCATAACTTTTTTACAAAAAAAAATTAAGAAATATAATAATAAATGGCAGTATAACAATTTTGTAAGTTTTTATTAAATTAAAAAAATTTTTCTATACATATAAAAGAAAAGTATATAGATTTTATTACATGTGAAATATAAATCATATAATATATAGACTCTTATCACATATAGATTCTTATGATAAATATGAATCATATTATTTTATATTTCTTTTCACTTGTAACAAAAATTTGCGTTATTTACGTGCGCGAGAAAAATTAAATAAAAAATTTATGTAAACATCGTATATCTTATTCAGTCTATCATGTACCAAGGACACATTATGTACTGTTATATTTCCATTTTCCAGTGAGTGCTGACAGTAACGATAACATATTAATATTGATAGCCAAATAGTCAAATGCAATGAACTTATACAGAGTTTATACAGTCAAGCAAGCAATAAATATAAGGAAACGTGATATTCTATCAACCCCATAAAACATATTTCAATAACTTGAAAACGTGATTCACAACGTTCCAGATAGATAAGTTCATAAAACTAGCTACATCTTTATGGCATTGCAAAGTCATAATAATGTAAAATAATTTCGAAACATTCAAAGATGTACAACGCAAGCCGACAAACAGATGCCCGTGTAATATATTTCAAATATGATACAGATATATTCACTATCAAGAAGTGAATAATATCTAATTTTAAATTGCATTTTAGTCCTTTTCAACCGGACATTGTACATATTTAGATTGAAATTTTTCGACCTTATTTAGATTTATTTCTATATTTTGATATTTATATTTTTTAAACTTTGTCTGGATTGCAAGAACAAAATAAATTTAAATTAATTAAAAATTAATTTATGATTATGTTCGTGGAAAGTATTATAGGATCTCTGAAATTGTGAAAGGACCAGTATTTTCAAGATAATGAAACTGTTGATACAGATGTTGCGAGCGTCACAATAGTCAAAGTAAGAAGTCACAGCATTATTTTATTTATTCAGCTGTTATATGCCACGTCGAAATACAAAAATTGTTTCTCGAAATCGTGTTTGTCACGGTTTTATTTCGTATATCTCCCAGTCTTTTGGAATTTTCTGCGACGTACAGAACGTCTGCACATTACAAACTATTCGAGATATGAAAACGCGTAAGGTAAGTGAAGCTACGGGCAAGGACGCGCGGCTTCCACAAATTTGCATAAATTGCGCATTTTCCAAGTTTGAAAAGCCATACCATGTACGATGATGAGACCGATGATAAAAAAAAAGAACCCGCAAATCTAATCTGTCGGCAAATTCAAAAGTTGAAAAGTCACGCCTGCGAAAAATAAATAGCCCGTCGAAATTCGCAGACGAAATTAGCGAGTGTGTAAAATGGCACGCAACTTAAAGTAAATACCAGTTCTCCAAGCGAATTATTGGCCCCGAGCTTCTTATCGGGCAATTTCTGGATACGTGCCGTCCTATCACGTATGCACGTTGTGCACGCCGGTAATTATCGGCAACGATAGTGCGCTCGCACATAGAAAATAAATATGAATATGGCACGCGTGAGCGCGCAGGTGGACACCGTTCGCCACTTGCCCACGCATCTTCCTTACACGTAGTCCCACCGTACGCAATTCCACGAGAAGCTCCTGAACAATACCGGATAGAAAGATTCAATGATCCATCGGTCTATCATACGGTAAGCTTGAACAATTGTCACGCGATTGTTCTTGAAAAAAGTAACGCGTTTGCCTTTATAATTAGACCCGTTGAGACCTTTGGACGAGTAGATTAGAGTGCAAATTAGTTTCGTTAGTTTTTCCATTTCATATTTTGCTGGAAAATAAGAAGCCAGCCACAAGCACATTCGTTTGCAATACATTACACGTCAACATTGTCCGAGTTAAAATATTAGTGATACATTGTGCTGCACGTGGTGGTAATTATTTTACGAACGACGATAATAGAGATTCATGTGAGATACGTAAGATATGACAATCTGTTTGCCAGTTTGTTTCATTTTACTTTTGCTTCATTTATTCGCAAAAACTCGGGCCCGATTATAAAGTGCGCAAAAATATTGTGTTCACGTTTCGCAATCTGATTCGTTTAACGAATCTTATTTCTTTTGATTAACATACAAAGATGCGAAAAATCAAATAGATTAGCAATCAATCTGATCCATCGATCCTAACGATCAATAAACTTTTCATTTGAAAGTTTGTTCGTTCGGCTCGAGTTATCAGATTGAACCAACAATCATCGACGAATAACCGACCATGGAAACAATTCCTTGTTACGATTTCGTTTGGAGATTTCTGCGAAGATGATTCCGATAGGCTGACGAAATCTGCTGCAATTCTGCATCGGTAGGCGTGTAAGAAGCGTAAGTTCTCAGCCGTGCTCTAGACATCTCCATATCCTGTTATAAAACATAATATGTAAGTTCCTAATTCTATTCAAATTCTATTAATTAGTATATAATATTATATACTAATATTATAATATAAATATTATATATATCATTATATATTTCACATAATATATAAATATACTGTTTTACAACTATCATCATATGTCGTAATATGATAGCATATGGTCAAAAATATTAAGTTAAAACTCGCCTCAGATAATCTGTAACTAATTATTAGTTTTCCAGGTAAAATCATTTATAATTTTATATGCCATGCATTTTGATGTGTATATCCTAATATATATGTTATAAGTGTTTTCTGATTCTTTAAATGTTTTTTTGTATTGTAGCATATAATTGCAATACTCTATGTTGAAACCATTCTAAACAGGCTTTATGATAAACTTCGAATTGCATAATGTAACAAAACAATAGATAATATGAGTAACATTGTAAATTTATCAGAAAAATTATTTTAAAATAACAATATATTCTATATTATTAGCATATTTCTCCTACATTCTAGATACATTGAATTTTATTATAAATGATTTCTTTTATATCTTTCTATATTTTTTTATCTATGAAAAAAGCAGTAACAAACCTTTAGAAGAGTCTGATTTCGAATGCGAGATTTTTCCAAATTTAAAAGCAAATTTGATGAGTCAGAAATTTTGGAAATATTCCTGTCACGAATCTCGCGACGTAATTTGTTGCTACAAGGAAATAAGAGATAACATGTTTTATGTTGATCAGGAAAAATATATAAATATATATATCTATAGTATTATTGATAGATATTAGATTTCAGCGAAAATACCGTTCTTCTATTTCTCGTTCGAATTGCTGTTCTTTTTGCAGGTACTCGTCGAAAACACTTCCGATATCAATATTGCCACTCTTTGTCATATTTTATAAAATCGTTGCAGTCCACTATGCATGTAGTATACCAATATTCAATAACAGTCAATGTTTTTATAATTGTCGAATATAAAATTATTGAATATAATAAACAAATGCAAAGGAAAATTTATTGTACATTTAGCATACTATACATATATCGTACGTAACAGTTTCCATGGTAACGTAACGTAACGCTCCTCACTCGTAAAACTAGATGGGGGAAAAACTAGATGGGGGCTAGATGGAAAAACTATGGGTGCCTTCCATCAAGAGATACAGGTAACACAGTGTGACACAGTGTCGATACAAGTGCCTTCCTACAACGATACAACACAACGCAAATCGACACATCTGTAGAGCAGAATCAAGCTGTGTCGTTTATCACGGCTACCAATTTTAGTCAATGTTATAATATTTCTAGCACTGTAAATTCTAGAAATTAGTGGTTAGGTCGAATTGACTGCTGTAGTGAGCGTTTTTTTGTTTAAAACTGAACATTTTGTTACAAAAACTTAAAAAATGCAGTGTCTACACTGTAACGATGTTGTACGCTTGAGGATGTGTCACAACATCAATGTTTTGTTGTATAAGAAAAATTTAATGAATCAAATGATTCATTTGCAGAAAAGAAAGTAAATATTAAATATTTGAAAGACAAAATTTTTGTATTTTAATTTTTTGTTGAGTATAAATTTTGAGATAGTCTAAGAAGTTAAGAGATAATTAAAGAAACTTTTACTTTGTTTTATTAATGAGAAAAAATATGTGTTTAACAGTTGTTATTTGGGACCAAAATGCTACGTTAGCCCTTTTTAGTTTATACGAAAATAAAATAGAAATGTTGGACTATTCAAAAAAAAAGGCAAAATATGGGAAGCTAGATCTAGCGCTTTGCAAGATTTTGGTATTCAGGTATAAAATGAACATAAAAGTTTAATAAATTCAATATTTTATATATAATTATATAATGTCTGTGTATATAATCGCATTTGTTTATAATATTGCCTTGCTTTTCGAAAAGGAAATTTGTGAAGGGGATGTTAACTCGAAAGTCAAATGAAATAATTCCAAATTTGTTTTTTATATTAACTGTGCTTGTAATGACGTTAATATTTTATTATAAAAAATGACATTAATACTTTATTATAAAAATTATTTATAAAAATGTACAAATAGTTTCTAAGTATATTAATCCTACAGGAAATACAAAAACTTTAAAGTTACAATATTTAATAGCATACATTTATGACAGTGTAGTTTTTAACGTTTATAATTATTATATAAATAACCGACATTTCGATATTTCAAAAACATGTTTATAATATTCAAAAGAATCATATTATCTGGTAATATCTTCGATATTTTGTAAAAATATATAATAAAAATGCGCATCACATCAATATTTATTATGATTACAATATTATTTACTACGATAACTAAATGTTTT